AAGGAGAAAAAACCCAGAGCAGATCCCAAATGTTCCTCAGAAGGGGAAGGAAAAGTCCTGCCCCTCATCCCAGCAGCATCTTTATTCCCAGAACTTCACCTGCAGGATGTCCAGAGCCCCCAGCTCGGTCCAACGTCCCTTCTCAGGGCTGTAAACCTGGGTCCCCTTGATGATGACAGTGTGAGCAGGGAGGTTGACACCCCAGGCCAGGGTGGCTGTGGAGACCAGCACCTGCAGAAGCAGAAGAACCATCAAAACCTCCTTCCAGGGGAAAAGAAATGGACCTAAAATGCTGGTCCTGATGTTAGAGACACACACAAAAGGGACAAGGACTGAGAACTGTGGCTGTCTGGGAGAAGAAGGTCAGATCAACAGCAGGATCTTTGGGCTCATTTCCCAGCTCCCTGCATGACCCTCAGAAAATCAGACCATGAGATGGTTTGGGTTGGAAGGACCTTGAAGATCATCCAGTCCCACCCCCTGCATGGCCATCTCCAGTCCTGGCCACGTGCTTTTAGTTTCTCTCCTTCACCTGAAAATCCAGGCAGTGTCCACAGGCCACCAGCTGTGGTGGAGCAGGATGGGGTTGGCTACATTCAATCCTCTGGAATTCTGACCATAGGACCATTGGCAAAACATGACTCCAGCCTTTCCAGGGAAGGACCTACTCTGAGCTGAGTCATTCCTCCTGGGATTTGATGCTCACCTGGATGTGCTTGTCAGCAAAGAGATCCTCCACCAAGGTCCTGTCCACCCGGGTCATGCCCGCGTGGTGGATGGCGAAGCCGTAGGGAAGCAGGTCCTTCAGCTCCAGGTTCTGCAGGACAAAGACAACCAGCTCCAGGCTTTCCACCCCAGGCAAGGGGGAAGAAAACAAGGCAGGAGAAGATGTAGCCAAGAGAAAAGACTCCAAAAACTGCACCAAAGCAGCAAAAACTCTGCAGATGCAACTGGGTTCTCCTGGAAGAACCATCTGGTCAAGGAGTTACCTTGCACTGCTCAGCTTCGGTCCTCAGCACCTCGGTGGAGGCTGAGCCCTCCCTCAGGAAGAGGCCCAGGGTGTCCTTCTCCAGGCACATGTCCCTGATGGCCCGGGCTGTCTTCCCAGTCTCCTTCCTGGAGTGAACAAACACCAACACCTGGTAAAGAAGGAGATGGAACCACGGTTGAGAGAGGGACCACGACGAGTTGGTCGGCAAAGGGGTTTGGTCCAACCTGCTCCTGGTGTTCAGGAGGAGGGAAGATCAAGAACTAGTCCTGGGAACCCTCCAGGAAACTCTTGACCTACTGAGGCACCACAAACCCTCCCTCACCCTCCAAGGTTCTACATTCCTCAGAGAACATCCACGTTCCTGCCTCTCTGGGCACGTCAGACAGTCTCAAGAAAGTGACTCCCCAAACCAGGACCAAGTCCATGAGGACCAAGAAGAAATCAAGGCTCAAACCTGGTTCTTCCCAGCATGCTCCATAATCTTCTCATAGACAATCTCATTCATGATCTGGAAACGTTTGATGGCTTTCTTCTCTGTGATGCCCACATAGGTCTGCTCCAGGGGCACGGGGCGGAAGCTGGAAGGAATAAAACCAAGTCCATCCAAGAGGAGAAGAAGGAAAACCCCAACCCAAGGTCCTAGCAAGAGGATTTTGGACTAGGAAATCAATTCGTTTCCTTTCTGCCCCAATTTATCCAGGGATTTGGAAGCTCCAGATCTGCCTGGTTAAGGTTATGCAGGAGAGGAGAGTGATGGGTGTTCCTGTTTCCTGGAAGCCATTTGCTCCACACACATTCTGGGAGCAGAAGTGATGGTTTCATCCTGCTCTAAGCTCCATCCCTCAGGATCTGCAGCACACAGGTACTGCAAAGTCCATCCACCTTCTCCAAAGCACCTCCTGGGATGAAGGAGAAGGCACCAGCACATCCAAGAGCAACCAAAAGCAGGCTGAGAGGGAGGTGAATGCCTGAGGAGACCATGGAACCATCTGACACATTCCCAGCTCTCCATGGCCACCCATCCACCAGTGGATCACCATGATCTTCTAGAGTCACAGTCATAGAGTTGTCAGGGTGCTAGGGTTGGAAAGGACCTCTGGAGATCATCCATCCAACCCCTGCCAGAGCAGGGTCACCTCCAGCAGGTCCCACAGGAACACCTCCAGCTGGGGTTGGGATGTCTCCAGAGAAGGAGCCTCCACAGCCTCTCTGGGCAGCCTGGCCCAGGGCTCTGCCACCCTCACAGCCAACAAGTTCCTCCTCAGCTTCAGATGGAACTTCCCACCTTCCAGCTCCTGCCCATGGCCCCTTCTCCTGGCCCTGGACACCCCTGAGCACAGCCTGGTCCCCCCTCCTCACACCCCCTGCGGCCAGATGCCCCAGCCCCTCAGCACCTCTGTGGCCCTGCCCTGGCCTCTCCAGTAGCTCCTTGGCCTTCAGCAACTGGGCAGCCCAGAACTGGACCCAGTTCTCCAGATGGAGCCTCACCAGGGCAGAGCAGAGGGGCAGGAGAACCTCCCTGACCTGCTGGCCACCCTCTTCTTGATGCCCCCCAGATGCCATGGGCCTCCTTGGCCACAAGGACACCTTCCTGGCTCATGGTCACCCTGTTGGCCACCAGGTCCTTCTTCCCAGAGCTGCTCTCCAGCAGGTCACCCCCACCCTGTGCTGCTCCATGGGTCTGTCCCTCCCGAGATGCAGCACTTGGTGAACCTCATTCAGTTCCTCTTTGCCCAACTCTCCAGCCTATCCACATCACCCTGGGTGGAAGCTCAGCCTTCTGGTGTGACCCCACCCCCTTCCCAGTTCTCCCCAGCTTCCACCATACCTGTTATCAAAGTAGAACAAGCCCTTGGCTGGGTCCACCCTCAGGAAGGTGGCCACGTCCTCGTAGTTGGGGAGGGTGGCACTCAGCCCCACCAGCCTCACGTCCTCCTGGGTCATCTCGATGTTGCGGATGGCTCTGGCCACCAGGGACTCCAGGACAGGTCCTCTGTCATCGTGCAGGAGGTGGATCTCATCCTACGGAGAGGAAAACATCACCCTCTGACTCCAAACCTACTTGGTCAGACCCCATTTGGGTCCCAGTTTCTCAGCAGAGATCCCCCGGGGCCTCCAGCTGCTCACCAGGATGACCAGTCGCACCAGTTGGGTGTAGGTACGTTCCCCTCCCTTGCGGGTGATGATGTCCCACTTCTCTGGGGTGCAGACAATGATCTGGGTGGCACTGATCTCCTCCTTGCACAGCTGGTGGTCCCCGGTCAGCTCGGCCACGTTGATGCCGTAGGTGGCCAAACGCTGGGAGGGAGCAAGGGTTAGGGTGGGACAAGGTGTGTCCCACTGGGACATCATGGAATCCCTGACTGGTTTGGGTTGGAAGGACCTGAAAGACCATCCAGTCCCACCCCCTGCATAGGCAGGGACACCTCCCACCAGCCCAGGCTGCTCCAAGCCCCATCCAACCTGCCCTTCAACACCCCCAGGGATGGGGCAGCCACAGTTGCCCTGCCCAACCTGGGCCAGGCTCTCACCACCCTCACAACAAAGAATTCCCTCCTCATCTCCAACCTCCAGCTCCCTCTCCCAGTTTTCATCCATCCCCCTCATCCCATCGCTCTTACCCTTGTCCCAAGTCCCTCCCAGCTTTCCCAGAGCCCCTTCAACTCCTTCACACCAACCATTAGTTGGACTGGATGATCTTCAAGGTCTTTTCCAACCCAAACCACTCTTGGATTTCATAGCCAAAAACCCATCTTCTCCCCACAAGCCTCTGCCAGAGCTTAGATCCCTCTGGAAGCCACCACAACGAAGCTCATAATCCTCAACCAACAGCTAAAGCATGAGCTGGACTGGAGCTCTCCTCACCTTCCCAAAGCTGCCCACCATCTCCTGCACCAAGGACCTCATGGGTGCAATGTAGATGATCTTGAAATCATCCACGTTGATGGTCCCATCGATGTTGATGTGCTTCCCTATTTCCCTCAGCATGCACATGAGGGCCACATTGGTCTTCCCAGCACCCTGGAACACAAGTAGAACCAGGCCCATCAAGGGGAGGAATCAATTCCATGGAGAGGAACAACCCCATGGAGCAGCAGAGAGTGGGGGTGACCTGCTGGAGAGCAGCTCTGGGAAGGACCTCAGGGTCCTAGTGGCCAACAGGGTGACCATGAGCCAGCAAGGGGTCCTTGTGGCCAAGGAGGCCCATGGCATCTGGGGGGCATCAAGAAGAGGGTGGCCAGCAGGTCAGGGAGGTTCTCCTGCCCCTCTACTCTGCCCTGGTGAGGCTCCATCTGGAGAACTGGGTCCAGTTCTGGGCTGCCCAGTTGCTGAAGGCCAAGGAGCTACTGGAGAGGCCAGGCAGGGCCACAGAGATGCTGAGAGGACTGGATGTGGCTGAACACCCCAACTGTCCCAGCCTGTCCCCAGAGCAGAGCTGCTCCAGCCCTCAAATCAGCTCCAAGGCCTCCTCTTGACTCTCTCCGGGAGCTCCAAGTCCTTCTGATGGTTGGGCCTCCAGAACTTGGACCCAACCCTGCAGGGGTTGGGTCTCAGGTGCAGGTTCAGCCTTTTCCACCCATAGAAGATCCTCCTGGACCTCCCATTCCCAGTAGACTCACCGTGGGAGCACAGAGGAGCAGGTTCTCATCCGACTCCAGCGCCGCGCGGTAGAGTTTGCTCTGGATCCTGTTCAAGGTTTTAAATCCCTCAAATCCAGCCTGGGCATATTTGGGCAACTTTTCCACCGAAACCAGTTGCTGAAAATGGAAATCATGGAGCTCAGGACCTTTGTTTTGGTCCCTCAAGGGACCTGCAGGGAGCTCAGAAAGATCCTGAGAACTCAGAAACAACCTGAGGAGCAACCGGGACACGTTGTCCTCCAGATGGACAGAAAAGAAGCCCAAGGATGATGGAGCAGATGAGAAGGAGATCAAACAAGGCTGGTGGACTCCAAGAAGGACAAGTCCCAGCTGGCTACACCATCAGGACAGCAGATCCCCACCATGCCCTCATGGTGGGAGAGATCAACTCACACTCCTGCTGATCAAAGGGGGTGATTGATCACCAGGCACCACCAACCAGCCAGATCTCCAGCCCACATCCCAGCAAGGAGGGACCAAAAGGGGGCAGAGGAGCCCCTGAGATGGAAACGACCAGCACAAGATCCACAGTCCACAAGTGAGGAACCAGAAACCAGGAAGTCTCCTTGGCCACGTGAAATCCCTATGCTCAAAATAACAGTTCCCAGGAAGGACCCCTCACGATACTGGCAACAACTCATGGAGACAGAGAAGGGTTTGGGTGGGAAGGGACCTTCCAAGGTCAAGAACAAGGACAACTTCAATTAGATCAGGTTGCTCAGAGCCCCATCCAACCTGTCCAGCTTTTCCAAGCCCTTGCCATCCCCAGCCTTTCCCCAACCCACATGCAGGACTTTGCGCTTGGTCTTGTCGAACCTCATGAGGTTCACAGAGCCCTTCTCCAGGTCCCTCTGGATGGGATCCCATCCCTCTGGATGGTACCTTATCCCTCTGGATGACACACCCTGCCGTTCTGGACGGGATCCCATCCCTCTGGATGGTACTTTATCCCTCTGGATGGTACCTTGTCCCTCTGGATGACACACCCTGCCCTTCTGGATGGGAACCCATCCCTCTGGATGGTACCTTGTCCCTCTGGATGACACACCCTTCCCCGCTGGATGGGATCCCATCCCTCTGGATGACACCCTGTCCCTCAGGCCCATCAACTGCCCCACTCATCTCGGGGTCACCTGCTGTTTCACTGATGTTGTCCTCAATCCCACTGTCTACGTGGCTGATGGGGAACCCATCAGTCCCAGTAGGGACCCCTGAGGGACACCACTTGTCACCCTCTCCATCTGGACAGCAAACCATTGCCCACCACCCTCTGGATGTGACCATCCAACCAATTCCTCACCCACTCACCACATCCTTCTCTCTCCCAGTGTAGAGGGAAGGATGTCATGGAGGACATCCTAAAGCCCTCACAGAAGTCCTGCTAGATGACAACAGCCACCTGGTCACTCAACACACCTCCTGCTGAGGGTCACCCACCTCTTCAGAGCCAAAAGGCTTTGGCTTGAGGGCAGGCACATGCACCTCCTCGTAGCCCTTGCGCTGCCGGCGGAAGGAGCCGTCGGGGAGTTGGCACCTCTTGTTGGCCATGAAGTGACTTCCTTGGGCAAACACCAGGTCCTCCAGGTCCAGCACCTGCCTAGGAGCCAGTGCCTGAAGAGAGCAACGGGAAAGGGACAAGGATCAGGGGACAACCTTCTCCTGCCATTCTGCACCATGGGACCCGAGGAAGAGCGACGCGACCAACTGGTAACGCCCCTCGGGCACATCAGGGGCTTGTTCGTGGTGTTTCCCATCCATCCCACCTCAAACATTCCTTCTGCCCTTCACTGAGGCTGGGAAAAGAGGACATCAAAGAGTTGTACCTCTCCTCCTTGGTCCAGATCCATGGTCTCCAAGTCAGTGTCCATGCGGGACTGACGGACGCGCTCCCGGCGAGAACGTTCCTCCTGTGGGAAGGGATGGGAGCTGAGCCCTGTGGGAAGAGCTGCTGAGGCTCCTCCATGGGATGGCCAGGTTCTCCTGGTGTCTCAGCACCACCATGAGCCACCACTTCACCCAGGCACATCACCAGAACATCATTTCTGGCTGCAGGAACCAAAACTTGGCTTCCAGGAGAGGAGATGAAGGAGAGCAGGGAGTGGAGACACCCAGACCTGCTGCCCACCCAGCCACCAAACTGGGCCTCCAGATCAACATCACCAGGGGGTTTCAGCAACAAAGCAGGAATATCCCCCCCCAAAACAACCCCCAGATCAGTCAAGGAACTGCTGGGGTCCAAAGGCCAAGTAGATGTTGCCCTGTGGGAGGGATTAATAACAACAAACATGTCACATCCCAACCCTGGGTCATGAGATGATCAGAAGAGACCAGGGTGTTTCATTGTGGTGACCCTGAATCATTAGGAGCTGATTAGAGGTGACCAGAGTGTTGTGCTGTGGTGACCACAGGCCACGAGATGATCAGAAGTGACCAGGGTGTCTGATTGTGGTGACCCTGGATCATCAGGAGCCCACAGGTGTGACCAGGGTGTTTGATCAGGCTGAGCCTCCCCCAGAAGAGGCCCAGAGGAGAGCTGGAGCTGTCAGGAGACCATGAACACCAGCACCAACCAGTGAAAGCTGCTGAGATGGCCCTTTTCCTGGGAAAAGCAGAGGGGCAGTGACCCAGAAACAAGAAGTGGTCAAGATCCCACCCCCTTGGCAACATCTCCCACGGCCTCATGCTCCAGCTGAGTCAGCTTCTCCTCTCACCACCAGCAAACCCAGGGTGACCACAGAAGGTGGAGAAAATCCCACCATCCCTGCTCCAGCCCTACCCGGATCAGATCCTCCTTCTCTGTCTCGTGCAGCTGGTACAGGAACTTGGAAAGTTCTGGATCTGCTTCCATCTTCCCCATGATCCGCTCCTTCTCCGCTTCGCTTTGGGCACTGGCCAGCAAGGTGCAGTACAGGACTGGGGGGAGAGCAGGGATGGATGAGGGGAGATCCCAGGGATGGATGAGGGGAGATCCCAGGGATGGATGAGGGGAGATCCCAGGGGTGGATGAGGGGAGATCCCAGGGGTGGATGAGGGGAGATCCCAGGGGTGGATGGGGAGAGATCCCAGGGGTGGATGGGGAGAGATCCCAGGGATGGATGAGGGGAGATCCCAGGGGTGGATCGGGGGACATCCCAGGGATGGGTGAGGGGACATCCCAGGGATGGGTGGGGGGAGATTCCAGGGATGGATGGGGGGAGATCCCAGGGATGGATGGGGGGAGATCCCAGGGATGGATGGGGGGAGATCCCAGGGATGGATGGGGGGAGATCCCAGGGATGGATGGGGGGAGATCCCAGGGATGGATGGGGGGAGATCCCAGGGATGGATGGGGGGAGATCCCAGGGATGGATGAGGGGAGATCCCAGGGATGGATGAGGGGAGATCCCAGGGATGGATGAGGGGAGATCCCAGGGATGGATGGGAGGAGATCCAGGGATGGGAGAATGGAAAATCCAAGGATGGCAGGGAAGAAAATCAAGATACAAGAGGGAATAAAATCCAAGGATGGGAGGAGGGAACATCCAGGGATGGGAGAAGGGGGTCAAGAGTTGGACCAAAAGGAAGGAGCAAAGAACATGGATCCAGACATCACGAAGCAGGTTGAGAAGCCTGGGATTGGGCTGGAATCATGTCAGGGCAGCAGGGAAGGACCAAAGTTGTAGAGAATGTCCCCAAGGTTGGAGGGAATGTCCCTGTCACTCACTCATCATCCGGTGCTGCCGCAGGACCTTGATGAAGTCAAAGGTGTTGAAGCCCAAGAGCAGCACGAGCTGGTTCTCACATTCCCGGTCATCGCTGGCAGTCTGGGAGGAGAAAAACCAGGGAATGAGCAGTTATCCCAGAGCCTTCCATGGAAAAAGAGGTCTCCTGAAGTTAAGGAAAAAGCTTGGCAGCTCAGGTGGCTACTGACCTTCAGGATCTCCAGGACTTCATCTGCCTTCTTCTGGGAAACGATGGCGTCGTCATAGAAGCGGCTCAGCTGGCGCTGGAGCCAGAAGGCGTCGATGTCTCGAGGGTGCAGGTCTTTCTTCTTGGAGCTCATCAGCTCCCCTGATGCCACAAGCTGAAGAAACCCCCCCACAAAATGTTATGGCCCTGCCAGGGGACAGTGTGGAGCAAGAGTTTGGAGCTTCTCTCTCCCAGACACCCAGCACGTTCCACTGGGGCAGCAGCCAGAGACACAGAATCACCATGGGATGGGTTGGGTGGGAAGGGAGCTGAAAGATCATTCAGCTCCAACCCCCTGCATGGGCAGGGACACCTCCCACCAGCCCAGGCTGCTCCAAGCCCCATCCAACCTGCCCTTCAACAC